TTTTAAGCATTTGTCAAAAAGGATGGAAAGCACTGTTTTTGAGGGACAGTCTTAGGTATATAGTCTGTTTTCTACTCCAGTGCCTCTCAAGTTATTTATGGTGAGTTCCCAATCTATGAGACTTTCATAAAATGCAATTAAAACTGGATTACGAAAAACATGACATAAAAACAAAATATAAGCCAATTTTTTTTTAAGATTTATTTTTACTGATTTGACAGAGACCACAAGTAGGCAGAGAGGCAGGCAGAAGGTGGGGGTGGGGGAAGCAGGCTCCGCATTGAGGAGGGAGCCCTACGCAGGGCTCGATCCCAGGACCCCGAGATCATGACCCGAGCCGAAGGCAGAGGCTTAACCCACTGAGCCACCCAGGTACCCTGTTTTTATTAACTTTAGACTTAACATTATTCTACTAAGTTTCTAGAATTTTAACTAGAAACTAGGGAGACAGGGGATAGGGAGAGAAGAGAGAATCTTAAGCAGGCTCCATGCCCAGTATGGAGCATGAGCCTAGGCTCTATCTCCTGACCCCAATATCATGACCCTGAAATCATGACCTGAGCCAAATCAAGAGTCAGCCACTTAACTGGCTGAGCCACCCAGGTGCCCTTCTACAGAACTTTTTAATCGGTTGTTGTCAATGTCTATGCTAATCTCATTAAAGATCATCAACAAAGTTTGAGACCAAGGTTGGTTTGAGAACTGCTTTTGAGTAGTGTTTTTTGAGTAGTGTTTTTGAGTAGTGTTGTTTTACTCCAACTTGAATGAATGACCGAGATCACTGGGATTGATTTATGTACTGTATCTCAAAGCTCAATCTATCCTTTGTTACAGAAAGAAGAGTTGAAAACTACTAGAAATAAAACAAAACTAAGAAATAAAGTTATAAAATTCATAAACCAGTTGAAGAACTTAGAAGTAAAATAGAAAACTATTAAAGTTCTAAAATTGTAGAAATTAAACAGAAACTAAGTCTTTGTGGTCATGAATATAAATTGTGGGGTGGGAATTACCTTCCCCAAATACTTGACCAGATTTTGAAGGAGGTGAGAGTGGGAGAAAAGTCAAATATCCTTGGGATAATCCAACAGGAAATGGTTGTTATTTTTATTACTAATTGGGTTAATACAACCTTTTTATCAAAGTGCTGGACATATTATTTCTACCACAGCTAGTTTCTCCTAACTCTTCTAACTCATTTTCCTGCCCTAAAATAGTCTGCCTTAATGTTTTTGTCCCTCATCCATTCCCACATCCTTATTCTTCTCATTATCTGTCTCCCCCTACTCCACCATTGGCATAGTGCAATGCTATGACTAGACCTAAGTAAAAAGGGAGGAATAATAGTAGCAAAATCTAAGATATAGGGAATTTAATTCCCATGTTGAACATTTAGGGAGAGGAGAATGTTCATGGGAGATATGTTATTATTTGCCTTTCTTTGACTTAGCATGTTACCAAATTTTTCCCCATGTATTATGCCTTACAGCATTGGTATATGAGAAATTCATTACTTATGCCACTTCAGGAATATGTTATTTGCAATTTGAGCACAGGAGTAGACTTTTATAGTAACTTTATAGTATACTTTAATATACAAATGTATACTTCTATAGTGTATAGAAAGCAGCAGAAATACTTTTAAATCCTTCAACTAAGGGAAATCCAACATTCTTCATGCTCCAAAGGAATTTAGTCATTTTTCTGAAGAGGAAGGAAGAGAGATTTGGCATGTCTATGCTTATATGTGGCTGTTGGTATGTCTAAAAGCAGGTGAATACCTTTCAGTGAATTTCTTCACAATATATGGCATACCATCCAATCTCAAAGGCAAGTTCAAATCTGGCCTAATTCAATTCCAGCCCTATTTCAGAGCTGAAGATTTAAACTTAATCCATACCTTTTTGAGCCAGACGAGTTCCTAGCAAAATAAATCATCCTTTATTTTGGAAGCAGTCTATAACACTTGTGTACCTCTGTCTCCTCATCTAGCCAACACACACTTGAATTTCTAGATTAGATTGGCCTCTCAAGATTCTTTCAGCTGGGAAAGACTTGCAGTTCAATTGAGTTTCTTGTCAGAACTCTGGACCTGAAATTCTAGCATTGGAGTGGCTATAAGCCTGGGTCTCAGGTATGGGGATTGAGTGGTGTTAGGTAAAGATGTTTAACATATAATTGTCTAATGCTCTGGAAGACCAAAGTTCCTTTCACGTTTCTTCCTAAACTCAGCTTGTACAGCTTGCAGTGTTAGAGAGATGTCAGATTTGTAGATTAAGAGAAAGTGATTCTAGAAATAGTAAAGAAAGAGGGCCAGTAGGGTTAATTGCTGCTACCTCTGTCTTCTTTTTAAGCTTTGGAATTCCAGTGGGAATTTAGTCACATACTCTGTCTTATTGGGTTAAATTATTTTTAATTTAAAATTAAATTAAATTTTAGGGACAAAATAGGTAACTATTGTTAGTGGATATTAATAACTTCTCGCATGGGGTTAAACTCTTTATAAGTGAGGACTTCAACTTGTTGCTCCCTTTTCATACTACAGAAACATGTTTTTCTTCTTCTCATGTTCTTTTACTGGCGTATTTAGGTGGTAAAATAAGGAATATATTTTCGAGTTTTAGTGCTACTACTGGTTATTCCAGTTATTCCACTTGCTCTGGTTTCACAATTCAAGAAATATGGAAGTGATGCAGAGATAAGACAATAGTGAGGCCTGATCCAGGGTATAACCGACATCAAATTCCTGAATGATCTAAATACACTCTTCCATTCCTGAAACATTAGTGGCAGCTCTTAGTGCAACTAGAAAATGGAAGAAAGTTTTTATCTATTCTTCCAACCAGCTCACAAAGTCCAGAGAATTTCATAATATGAGATCATTTAGACACCTTGAAGACCAATTTGGGGCTTTTCTTAACTGTTGCACAATTATCAGTCAAATTCTGAGCATCACAACTTGAGAACTGGAAATCTTGGAGAGAGTTTAAAGAGTCACAGTAATTACTAATAACCTTGACAAGTTGTAGAAATGGGCAGATAATTACAGGATGAACTTAATAGAAATATAGAGTAATTTAGAGGAAGAGAAAAATAAAACACTATAAATACTAGAGGGAAGGCTTGGCTTTGTGGGAAAAATGTGGGAATCAGTAAACCACCAGTAAAACATGAGTTAGCCATACGGCACAGTTGCTTTATTATTTTTTATTAATAAAAATAAAAAAATTATAGAGTACATGCAAGAATTTTGTGTCTAAGAAAAGGCAGTAACCCCCTAGTCATCTATACAATTATTTAGTAACCTATCACATGCTAGACACTCTGAGTGCTGGCATAAAATGGAGAAGACTTAGGATCCCTACCTTCACAGAGCTCGCTAAAGTGTGGTAAATGAGAAAGCTAGTACCTTTAATACTGTCATTAGTTTGTATTCTATAGCCAACTTCAAGTACAGCAAATACTGTGAGTTCCTTGAGGTAGGGATCCTATTTTTACATTTGGGATCCCCTTCCGTGCCTAGCACGGCACCTTGTAAACAATCGACCTGGATTAAGAGGTAAAATTTAAGCCTCCAAAAAACTAAAATTTGAAAAAGTAAACACTTGTCTGACCATCAAATATGTCGATCGAAATGCGCAGGTTTTCTTTGGCACGTAATGTTTGTGAACCCATTACGTGCAGAACAGTCCTCAACACATGCTTTGTGTATAAAAGGGATGGTAGGAATGGACTCAAGTTGCACACCGTGATAATTGCCATGGACATCCTGACCGGACTGACAGCCCATCCTCCGCTAGTTTTCCCCTTTCTTTTCTCTTTTAGCTGAAAGACAAAACGCTTAAGCAGTAGGTACAGGGGAGGGACGCGGACCTAAGACTTCGGGGCACAACCACCAGCTCGCGCGCTCACCGAGCTCGTTAAGGCAGCTTCGCGGGCGCGGCAGACCGGCTCACACCCCTGGCTTTCCGGCGCCCGGAGTCTCCGCGCGGACGAGGCGTCCCCCCAGAGGAAAGACAGGGCGCCGCAGACGCCCCTCGGAGTCACCGGCCACCCACCCCGCCTCAGGCTCCGGTTTCTCTTGGGTTCCCATTGATCAGGCTGGTGTACGTTCCAGAGAGGCCAGTGGGGCGCAATTAGAAAAACGGGCACTCCACGTCCCCGACTGTATCAAGTCACCCACCCACTCGAGCCCCACAGCCCAGCAGGCCAAGCAGGCCGGACGCCGAGGCCTCGCGGTAGCGAGCCTCCATCCGCCCCGCCTCCTCGCCCTCCAGCCGGCCCCGCCCTCGCACTCACCCCTCCCCCGCTCCCGCCTCGCTTCCCCAACAATCTCCTCGCGCTCCCGGCCCGGCACGCGCGCTGCGCCGGGCCGCCTCTGCCGCCGCCGCCGCCGCTGCCCTACCGCCGCCGCCGCCGCCGCCGCCGCCGCCGCCGCGGCGGAGCGTTTCTCCGCGGTGCCGGGCTTCCAGCTTCGGACCGGAACCGGAAGTCTGGGGGGCGGGGCCGGCGGAGGCCAGGGGACCGAAAACGCGGCCGAGCCCGGAGCCCGGAGCCGGAGCCAGAGCCTGGACCAGAACTTGGCCGCCGCTTGCACCGCTGCCGCCGCCGCCGCCCGCTGCTCCTTCTCCGCGCCGCAGCTGCCTCGGCCGCCACGGCCGAGAGCTCGGCCGCCAGTGGTCCGCGGACTTTGGGTGTCCGGGTTGAAGGTCGGTCCGGACGTCGGACCCAGCTCGGTTCCCGGACTGTCCGGGCGGCAGCGAACGCCACCGCCGCCGCCTCCTCGTCGCCTCAGCCTGGCGTTTTGTTCGGAGAGACCCGAGAGGCGAGCGGAGCTGACAGTGATTTTGACAGTGATTTAAACGCGCTTTTGTTGTTGTTGGCTTCGTTGTTTGGTTTTGTGTGTTGTGCGTGTGTGTGGCGGTTTTTCCCCCGTGGTGCATTTTTTTTTTTTTTTTAATTGTTGTGCTCCCCCCCCCCTTTTTTTTTCTTTTTCTTAACCCCGTGAACGTTTTTTTGGTCGGGGCTTCCGAATATGTTTTATGACGGTTGATTTTACACCAGAAGGTTTGTCTCCGAGGAAGACCCAGGGAACTGGATATCTAGCGAGAACTTCCTACGGATTCCCCGGCGCCTCGGGAAAATGGGAGCTGCTGCAAAGTTGGCGTTTGCCGTCTTTCTTATCTCTTGTTCTTCAGGTAGGTGCATGGAGCGTGGCGCGGCAGGGCTGCTGCTGCTGCTGCCGCCACCGCCGCCGCCGCCGCCGCTGCTGGCGGCCGCAGTTGTTGTTGGCCGCGGTTGTTGTTGGGTCGGCGAGCTCCCGTGGAGCCCGGGGAGGTTTTCCCCGACCTGGAGCCCCTCGGCTCCGACCCCCCAGGTCTGATTGTGATCTGGACATCTCCATGAATGCTTCTCGTTTTGAGTTAGGTTGGCGAACTGATAAGAGTGGCTGCTCTGTTGTGAAAGTGAGAAAGTCATGGTTTGTGGCCATAACATTGGATGACAGCGCTGGTTGGGTTGCAGTTAAGCCACAAATACCACAAGTGACAATCTATGCAAAGGTTTGAGACCCGAAAGGCGTTTTCCAAAATGCCATTTAGTGTGGCATTCTCCAAAATAAGGGTATTTTATTTTAATGGTCTTTTAATTAGTGCTTCACCAGTGACTATCACGACAGAGATCTGGGCAGTTGTTACTTAATTTTGACCGTGAGAAACAATGCATCATATCAGCAATTTCATCTGGGTCTCCCCTTATGTTTTCTTAAACTTCAGTGTCCAGCAGTGTTAAAAATAGTTATAGTTGTTGTTGTTGGAGTATTAACAATAACCTAGTGCAGAAGAGGTATGCTGCTGTGTTGGTAATGTGCTGGCTTTCAACCACCATTTATGTGCTCTTTTCTGGCATAGATTTTGCTTACCTACGGAATACTTATTTTAAACGCGTTGTATTGAAGCATTGTTTTTGGTTTAGAGCAGCCATTTGAGATTGTTCATACTGTCAAATACACTATAGTCATAAAATAGGTTGTGGCCCAAGGTTGGAAGAATAATTAGGTCCTTTTATATTTGAAATTTTGATTTTGTGAGAACGTTCTATGCTTGCAACCAGTGGTTGGAAAACTAGTCTTTTGTATTTGAAATTCTGTAAATGAATGCAACCTAGCTCAAAGGTGTGCAAATGTACATAACAGGGGAGTTAGTTTGATAGATGAAACAATTTTAAAGTCGCAATGGATCTCTTGTTCATAAAATTCAATATATTCAGTTACTAGGTTGTGAGAGAGAATTATTGGGGGGGGGGCGAATTGACAGGTTTCATGGCCATGTCTTTATCTCCTTTGCTAGAGGGAAATTAGAGGGTGTTAGTCTTTTCTTTGTGTACCTCTGTTGTGTGTGTGTGTGTGTGTGTCCATCTTCCCAACCCCCTCTTTTAATAGAATCTTTTGTAATGTATAGAATTTTGCTGAATGGTTCATTTCCTTGTGGTTAATAAATGGATAAAGTCTAGTCTTATGTCTGTAGTGGTATTGATCAGTTCCGGGTGGGCTAAATGTGTTGTGAAATGGCGATCATTGCCAGAGATTAACCAAAGAATCATGTCTGTTTAAATGGAAGAAGGAACATGCTTAAGGCAGGCTGACAGTTCTTTTTGTGCGCGGTTTGGGGAGGAAGATAAACAATGGTCTCTCTGAAATGAATGAATACCTTGATAACATTAAACCTCTTGCTTTTGTAACATGACTTAACTGTGTAGTTTTTATTTTTCCTGTAGTACTCTCTCTTCTGTGTTTCTGTATGTTCTGGTTGGTGAACTCCTCTTGTTCAAATCCCTTTCTCTGATCTCCTGCCCTTGAGGAGGAGGGGCATCATGGCCACTGACCAAGGAATTGTGGACATTATTCCCTCCCAAACCCACCTGAATCACACTAATTGGTGAAGGGGGTTATTCTTGAGCAGTCTCAAGGTATTACTTCTGAGAAAGCAGGCTGTCGCTACAGATCTTACAGCTTCCTCTGCTTGGTTTAGAAGTAAAAATAATAGAGCATTAGTTTTTTGTAGGATTATTTTCCGTGGGCCAGGAGGTTAATAGCTAAAATTTTGAAATACAGTAGTTTTCTTGCTGTAGAGCATATATATACATATATATATATATATATATATATATAGCACACAGAATTACATAAAACTGGTAATAAATGTTGCATAGTTTTTTTTTCAAATAATTCCTAGTTGAACTAAAATATAATTCTATTGAAGATAATTGAAATCATCTTAAAGACTTTAATCCATATTTGTGTATGAAGATTTTTAGTACCTAAAATATCTGATTTTTAAAAAGGCTTTGTTATGAATTAAATACACTTTAAAAGATTATTATGTTTCTTTTCTTAATTGATTTTTCTATGTAATATGTAAGCGGGCATGCTGGAAGCATGAGGATGACTGTTTTCAGAGAATTTAAAAATTTCTCAAGTTGTCAGCTTTTTGTTTCTGGATATTTGATTTTTTTTTTTTAAGCAGATGAAAAATAGTAGTAAAGAGCTGTTGTAGTTCAGGTTTTTAGGATGAATGTTTACTGTTTTCTTTAGTATTTTGCAGACTTTGATTTTCAGTTTCTATCCCATGGTATATATACTAGAAGACTGATTTTGCATACTAATCCTGTACGATATGACCAAGTATATAATTTCTTAACGTAATTCCAGAGGAAACATTTTTGAGTTATTCCTTCATCCTCAAATGCCTTCAGATTCCTTCTGTATTCGGATTTTTTCATTCTTCTTATCCTTCCTCAGATTCTGTTTCAAAACACAAATGTACTTAGATTTTTTGTTTGTTTTTAAAGCATTGTGGTTAATTTGTATCTTTACCATTTGTTAAACTGTGAGTTTAATACTTGCTCTAGTGCTTAGGTTTATGCTACCTAGAATGATGCAGCTACTGTGGTATTTGAGTTGCACTAAGTTGAGAATTTGTTTGAATTTCTGTGCAGACTGAAGCAGTGTGGTCCGTATATTCAATGAAATAAGAAATGGAGATAAAGTAATTTTGTGCATTTCCTTTACTTCACTTAAGCAATAGAGTGTAGAGTGTGTGTGTGTGTGTGTGTGTGTGCACGCACGCCTGTGTATGTTTGTGTGAGCGAGTGTATGTGCAGTTGGAGGGAGAATTGGCAGTATAGTGAATCTTCTGAGACTCCACTGAACTTTGGCTAACAAGTGATAGATATTAAATGCTTTCTTTTCTGCAGGCAGAACTGCTTAAATGTAGTCTGTGATCAAATTCAAATACAGTATATTAGAACATCAAAACTAGAAGAGAAACAAAACAAACTCCCTCCCCTACCAATTCTTGTTGAATTTTTTTCTACTTGTAAGCCAGTATTTCTCAAGTTTGGGTGTCTTTTGCTCTCTGCCCCTACACGTCTCCCAGGAGACATTTGAAGACATATTTGGTTGTCACAACTGTGGGGTACTATATGCTACTAGCATCTAGTGGGTAGAGGGCAGGAATGCTGCTAATCATCCCATAATGCACAGGACAGCCTTACACAATGACGAGTTACGTGGCTCAAAATGTCGATAATGTTAAGGTTGAGAAGCCTTACTTTAAACTCTTCATTTTTAAAAGTATTATTATATTAGTAAAAGGGTCCTGCTTTCCATTCCCACAGTCAATCATCCAAATTTTATAAGGATATGCTGTTGATCTTCAGGTGATTTTGTATTGAAAGCTTTCATCTTTCCATTGTCTTTTAGAATTAGAATGATTATATTAGAAAAACTGACTGTTGGTGTACACGTTATTTCATCTTATGATATTTTAATAAAAATAATTTGCTGAGTTTTGAATAAACTCTCCAGACCCATTGCTTTGCTATGATGGAAAGCCCATGAAGACTGTATATTCCAGTAGTTTCTTTGCTGTGATAATTATCTTTAAGGATATTTCCTTTTATCCTTATTAAAATCACTGTCTGGACTGTGTGGTGGCAGCTGGGTTGTATGTGTGAGAAAGAGGGAGAGAGAGACTAACATGGTACAGAAAAGTTTTGTAAGTTTCATATGGAAGAAATAAGTACACTATTACATGTGCGTGAAAGGTTTCAAAGTATAAATTCAGGGTTTGTTTTTTTTCTTTTAAGGCTATTTTTTTTTCTTCTGTTCTTTAATTTGAAGAAAATTTTAAAGTGGTTTCTTTTTTTTTTTTTTAAGATTTTATTTATTTATTTGACAGAGAGAGAGAGATCACAAGTAGGCAGAGAGAGAGGAAGGGAAGCAGGCTCCCTGCCCAGCAGAGAGCCCGACTTGGGGCTCGATCCCAGGACCCTGGGATCATAACCCGAGCCGAAGGCAGAGGCTTTAACCCACTGAGCCACCCAGGTGCCCCTAAAGTGGTTTCTTTTTTTTTTTTTTTTTAAGATTTTATTTATTTGACAGAGAGAGATCACAAGTAGGCAGAGAGGCAGGGAAGCAGGCTCCTCGCAGAGCAGAGAGCCCAATGTGGGCCTCGATCCCAGGACCCTGAGATCATGACCTGAGCTGAAGGCAGAGGCTTTAACCCACTGAGCCACCCAGGCGCCCCCTAAAGTGGTTTCTTAATTACATAGTTTTCTGGAGAATGATTGGCTGGGTTTGGTTATCATTAGACTCATTTTATACTAATTAATATTCTATGATCTATCATAGACCCTTGTCCTTCTTAAGGTTAAAAATTGACCATAATTAATAAATGCTTACTTTGTTTTGAACTCTGGTTTTAAGGAAGTGAACCCAGCCAGGATAAGAATTAAAGTGAAAAAGTGTAAGTAGCATTATACCATTGAAAAGAAAAATCCTGAAATCACTCCCACAAAAAATATGCAAATAAGCTTCATACTATCTTTGTAACACACCTCCCCATACGTATATATCTTTGGTACTACTGACATCTTCACCTTTTGGGTTCACTGTTTCATGAGAAGTAAAGCATAACTAAACCAAATGAGATTTTAATAATCTCTAAATGTTCTTTTATATTCTAAAATTATTTTCTTGCTTTTTTACTTTTGTAAGTAGTATACTCTTATTTCTCATCTTTGTTGTCTCAAAAGTCTGTGATTTGTATTTGTCTTTTCATGCTGTCTTATGTTGCTAAGTGTCCTGCATAGTTTCTCTTAGATAGTAATTTAGGTAAGCTTAGCAATATTTGATATT